TAGCTAAAAGTGAAATATTTTTGCATATACTTTTAAAATAACAATTAAATAATAAAATATACAGGTAGTCCTTGTTTAACAACCATTTGTTCAAAGTTACAACTGCCTCAGAAAAAGTGCTTTATGACTTGTACTTGCACTTATGACCATCGCAAACTATTGCACCATCCTCCGTGGTCACATGATTGTGATTTGCTACCTTTTTTATACAGTCATTAAGTGAATCACCACAGTTAAGCAAATCACGTGGTCATTAAGCGAATTCTAGCAAAACGTCCATTGGGGAAGCTGGATTCACTTAACAACCATGCAATTCACTTAACAACCATGGTGATCTGTTTAATGACTGTCATAAAAATGTTCGTAAAATCAGGTGCAGTCATGTGGTGACTCACTTAACGACCACCCCACTTAGCAATCATTTTTCCAGTCCCTGTTGTGGTCGTTAAGCAAGAACTACCTGTATCTCATTTGCTATGATGGAGTGGGTTTGTAAAAAATAGATGATGTTTCCAGACAGTTCATCTATGATCATCTAATTTAAATCAATAAAACAGTATAAGTGATAGATACACAGTGAATTTCAGTAATTAGCAGAAACTGCCTTCACATAAGCTTCTTCTACCATTAGGATATACTGCAAAGATGGCAACTCAGCCTATTCCTAAAACTGCACATAATTCTCACAGACATCAAAAGAGAACTGAGCACATATCTTGGAGCAGTTTAGTGTATTTTTAATTTCACAATATAGCCTGCCCATCTTTTCAAATTAAGAAGTCTTATATTATGTAAATTATTCTCATCAATTTGTTTTACTCTCTGAAACCAATAATTTGGGGAAAAATGAATTCAGCAGGCATATAAAACCATATGTAGACTAAATTTGAATGAAACTATGACTTTGTTGGAAGAGTGAGAGAAGGAACTAGTTAATTAATTCTTCTTTTTGGTGTTGAGTCATATTATATCTGTCTAAGCTTGAACTGTTGGTAAATATCCAAAATGCTATTGGCTACTTATTTCTACCTCTATCTTTTGTTTTGTCATGGGAAAACACAATTTTCATTCTAATAAACTGAAATAATAGCAACTTTTTAATTTACTAATTCCTGATTTAACTCCCAATCAATATTGTAGATATTACAAGAAATATTTAATTTGTATTTAACATTTATATTAAATAGTTACATGCATCTGAAAGTGATCATATGACAAAGTGATATTTGTTTCAGAGTATACAAATAATTACCATGAAATTGTTTCAGATTATGGAAAAACTGAGAAAAAAGGATAACAATTATAATACGTAACTCAGTATTTCACAATAAACATTACCCTTCAAGAAGAAATACATATGGCATTACAATGTAATTGATTTCTTAAACAAATCTACATGAAAACTGAAGTGCTAGCTGACAATAGGAAAATAGTAAATGATCTTTTTTTTTAATCCAAGAAGTAGTTTATATAGAAGATGAGAAAAAAAATTAATTCACCATTATCAGCCTGGGCATCTACAATCAAAATTATAGTGGTGTGTCAACTGATTGATTATTGTAAACTGAAAAGTTGGCAGGAGATTTGAGATACTCTATATGGAAAAGTAAGAGATCCAACAGAGAAGCTAATGCTATTTAAACTTCTGTAGAAAAAGAAAAAACAACTCATCTAAGATTTCCAGCTTGAATGAATAATGACCACAGCAGAAATTGGTAAATTAACTAAAAATATACAGGAGACAGCTATTAAAGAACCAGACTGCTAAATTGACTAGCTTCAGATTTTTAGACTTTACATTTGATAATATAATAGACAACAGAAATGTGTTTATGTTAAAATGAAGGTAAGGAATAGAGGGTCTGACAGTAGTATCTACAGAAGGCCTAACACTTTCTTTAAAGGTCAGTTCCAAATCCAGGATTGAATTGAGCCTGCTGACTTTCTCTCAGAAAACAGAGCCAGGGAGAAGAAGAAAGGGAGATTCCTCCCAGCAGAGCATGTGGGAGAAAAGAAATGAAGTTTTTCTTCACTCTGCCTTGTCACCCTATCCTGCCAAGTCCATTACTGTGTTAATACAATCTGTTGATCCTTATGTTTCCTGTAAGTCCCACTGACAGATTGACAATGAAGAAGCTACTGTACTCGCAAAACCATTTAAAGATCCTCTTCTACATATGTTAAAAACTTAGACTGAAATCAAAACTACCCAGTGGCATAATAGAAAGGTCACTCTGATCTTTCAGTCTTGGCAGTTCCTTTATACAATTGGCATACTGACCTGTTATAAAGACAATAATACCAAGACAACACTTTGCATATGAAAAATGAGTCATGAGATATAATTTTCTAATTTTTAGGTAAATCTTGGAAATAAAATATTGAAGAGAAATGGTTTTCTCATAATGAATGCCGAACTTCAAAGGCCTCCTCCTACAAATTTCATTCAAATCTGTATTGCAAGAATGAAATTATTAAAAAAAATATGACAAATTGAGGTAGCAGTAGGAAAAAGCTATTGAACAACATAATGTACTGCCAAGGAAGATCATCTCAATACGTTATTATTGTCCCACAGATTACAATTTAACTTACCGAGGCTGCTCTTCTGCAGTTAACATCACGGTCATATATAGCAGCTATAATCAGGGCACTGAAAAGAGAAAGGAAAAGAAAAAACTTTGTGTATGTTGTGTGTGTGTGCATGTGTGTATAAACAATGAACAATTTGACAAAATTTGTCTTTTGAAGAGTAAAAGAGAAGAGCTATCATCTTTGTCTAATGGACCATACTAGCTGCAGTCACTATTGGCTAAGACATGTTGGTAAATTTCAAAATCTGTATTTGGTTTACAGCTCACTATAGTAATAGTGAAAGAAAGCACTCGATTTAAATCCATTACATCAACACATGCACATTATTTCTGCTCCTGATTTGCATTTTTTCCAAATAATTATCTTAAGATGATCTTCATTTATAAGATAGGATACTCCATCATTCAATACTAGCTAACTGCAGCACAGGCTTAAAAAGGGAAAACTTTAAACATTGTAGGAGGAAAGCCATGTTAGTCTATAGCAAAAATCAGGAGTCTGGTAGCATCTTTTCAGACTCACACATTTTATGATGAGGCATGAGGTTTTGTGAGCTACAGCTGAGCAACTCTAGTGCATCATAAAAAGAAGAGCAGATCCACAAGAGGGTTGATTTGTATGCTAGGTTTTAGTCCCTCAGTTTGTATATTAGAAAAAGAGCTTACCAGACTTCTGAATGGGGATGTGAGGATAGGTTTTTGCCTTCCTTACAGCAAAGCCAATGTGAAAATATGAAGTAATCATCAGGCTGTTTTCATTACATCAGAAATGTGTACAGTATAACTGGAGATAAGTAAGAGCATGTTCTGCAGAAAGACCAGGTCACAACAGTGAATGTTGTAGACTGGTCTAGAGCAAGGCACTGTGATACACAATTGAGCATATATGTCCATTTAACACTATGGCACCTAGGATATCCCCTACTGTTTATTTTTACTACATTCCACCAGGATTCCCCCATGTAAATGAAAATGGAATTTCTTTCATAAACCGCAAAACATTTGTAATTACCTTATTTATTTATTTATTTATTTATCTTATTCTACATTATTTTTACAACGTAGATATAGTAAATTGTACCTGATTTATAGCAAACAATGTCTTCCCTTCAGAAATATACAAGATACATTTCTGTAGTGTTTTAAAATTTATTAAACATTTTATCACAACCTTGTGTGAGATGGGTGGCTATATAAATATGATAGATAGATAGATAGATAGATAGATAGATAGATAGATAGATAGATAGATAAGGAGAGGATAGGTAATAAATGTGTCATGTGAATACATAACAAAACACTAAGACAG